GTAGAGAGGTAACATGGATCTTCAACAGTACTACTGTAAAGGCTAGACCTAGGAAATGGATACCAATATGGAGTACTCAGACGGGCAAAAACCTTTGGGTGAAGGGTACCACCAACTAGGCTGCTGGAAGTTCAACCAGAAGGACAGGAGAAAAAGGATATCAGGCTGACCTGATATACCAATAGGCTGGTTATAGTTCTATCAGGTTATCTGGATTGGGAGTTTGGAGAAAAAGCAGAGGTATACTAAAAGTACTAGGGATATGCTGTAAAGTAAGTGCTAGAGTCTGGGTGAACTCTGCAAAGGCAAGCCCTGTTAATGTTCTGTAGGTGGGTAGGTAGTTAATATAGAGGCCCCTGAAGCCTTATAGTCAGGTGTTGTGCTCTGAAAATAATTGTGTAATGGCTTGACAGACGTACAGAAAGAAGGCTAAATGTTGGGTTAGATGGCACTTAGATGTACAGAAACCAGGATGCTAATTGTCTGGATGTAGTATAGGAATCAGAGTGTTTAATTAGATAGTCTTCTAGTAGATTATAGGCATGGCAGCTAGTATAGAACCCTTGGGTGGACTATTTAAATAAGTAACCAAAAGTTACATGTGTGGCTAGTTGTACGCTCATCCTATACAAGTAATATATAATGTATTCACTAAAAATACAATAAAGGCATTAGCCACCATTAACATTGGCCTTAAAACAAAAAAAAAAAATTATTTATAACCATATTCTCTCTTTAAAAAATATACCTAAATCTAAAATCTTTACTTAGCTTGTTATTTTTCAACAATGTCTATCTTAAGTCAACAAGAACCAGACATAGCAGACCTTGATTATTTCTATCAAAACTTTTTAACAGTTTTGGAATTGCTCTTTATGAAGAGGACAACAGCAACAAGACTTGCCCAATTTTTCTCAAAGTTCAACCTACTATCTGCTTAACAAAAAATCTTAGACCAAATAAGATTACTTATTTTTTTAAAACTTTTATCTCTATTTCTGTAATTACTTGTCTTTGTGACAAATATCATACCAAATTTATTTCAACCTCAAATACTAATTATACTCAAGCTACTGAATTTATTACTACTTATATCAATAGTAATTTCAAAAAAATTAACAAAACAACTCATGAACTTATAACTAATCTTTCTTTCTCTATTGACAGTATCTCTTCATCTTCTACACCTGATATACATTACTATATTTGTTCTAAATACTTTCTTTCAATTAGTTGTATCAAAAGAAATGAACACTATTATCTTACTAACAAATATATTTCTAAAAATAATAAAATCTATCATCTTATTTGTATAACTGCCTCATCTAAACATAAAGCTAGCTCATTCAAAACCAAGAAAAACCTTATACAAACCTTCCAAAACATCTTACACTAATCCTCTCAAACTACCAATCCTCTTACTGCTTTTTTTTTACCAAACCTCAACTTCATCTGATCTTATCAATTTTTTCTTTTTTACAACTACTAATACTAATCTTAACTCTAACCAACCCTCTACTACTAAGACTCTTGACACTTTTATTCTAAATCTTAATAAGATAAATAATACTAACCAATCTTAAAATACTCCTAATAAACCTTTTTCTCAATTATACTCTAGTATTCTCAAACTAAAATCTAACCCTACATATAACTAAGTTGCAAATTTTCTTATTATTGAAGAAATACAACTTAATAAAAAGCTGCAAACCTTATTTTCTCTTTAACTTTTTATCTTCTTTAAAAAATTTTTTTATGATTTCTATTCTAATAAAGAAATTAAGTCAGCTACTGCTACACAACTAGTACTCAAAGCATCATTCTATTATATTATCTGTATCATGGCTGGACAATATTTTGAATTCTTAATTGATCTTATCTACAACAGCAACCCCAATATTGACAAGAGTGCTACTATTTCTTTCAATCTTCTTAAATCTATCTTAAAAAACCTTATCCTTAAATTTACAACTATTTTTTTTACTAAACTTAATTATCTTGAAATTTTTGTTTTACCAGTTACTATTCTTCTATATATAGTTCATAATCATCTTCAACTCTGTCTTAATCTTGCATGCTTATATCTTTTCTTATCTAACAACTACCAATTAATTGATTACTAAAAATTTGCTAAAAACTTACAGCTCAGACCCAAAAGATAAAAATTGAATTATTTAGTCAAACTACAGATTTAAAACAAAAATATCTTACAATTCAATTTGATATCAGATTTAATATTAAACTCTTCTTTAATATTCCTAAAACTCTCTTTCTTAAATGATTTTGTATTTCTTCACTAACAAACTTTTTTTTATTTTGTAAAGCTTAATGAGCTCTACAAAATAAAAAAAAGTTTATTTGAATTTGATGACTGGGTGGCTAGAAATTTTAATTTTTAGTCATGAAATTTACATAGTCCCATAGGGTCATTTTCAAGGCAAAGAACTCATATAAGTTATTTAATTTTATTAAGTCAATCTACATTTAAGCCAGTGTTAATTAACCATTTGAACTAATGAATCGATTATTTAATCAATTAACTAAGTCAATAAAATTAAACATGCTGATATCTAAAATGTGTAATTGTATATTTATAAGCCAATAAGGTAAGTTTATATTTGTAAAACTATGCATATCGTTGGACATTGAAGTTATTTAACTTATCTGATGTCTTATGACTTAACTTGAACTGGGTAAACAACCATAGTTCAAAAGTCCAAATAGTGACATTAACAACACTGTATAATGATAAACTAGAATTTTAGTAATCGACTCTAATTAATCAGGATGGAATCTACCTTTGACCAATAGGAAAACTGGAGGCAATTAGTAAATGCAATATTTGGCCAAGCAAAGTAATTGTTATAAATTTATTTACATTGAGAACAATGCCAGAATGTAGAATCGAGTTTCCGGTTGTATGATGTTCCAAAGGAATTAATAAATAAAAATTTAAGATCAGGTGTAACGAAAATCTTATCAAACTAAAAATAAACAATTGGGTGCCAGTAGAAACCAAGCAAATTGTTTTTAGTATGTTTTTTAAAATTTTTAAATTAAAATATCTCAACAATTATTAAACCAAACTTGGTAATTTTTTATTTATTTGAATTCTATAACTATATAGAATTAAAATAAAAAAAATTTATCAGGTTTGGTTTAATAATTGTTGAGATATTTTACTTTAAAGTTTAAAAAAATTTACTTATAAACAATTTGCTTGGTTCCTACTAGCACCCCCAATTGTTTTTATTAATATTAAGATTAGTGTTAGAGATTTAAGTTTGTAAAAAACATAGTTTATGATAAAGTTTTACAAAGAATTTTTTTCTTAAAACCTTAAAAGTGGTTTTATAAATAACTTTTTGAATATTTTACTTTGTTTTTGTTGTACAAAAAATGATCTACATAAGAACTCCATAGCAAAAGGGCAATGGGCCAAAAAGATTATTTTCTAAAACAACCAATTTCTTGAAGAATCAGAGTAACAGACACCTAATTTTATAATTACAAAATTTTTTGGTCCATTGCCCTTCTGGGATACATTTCATTTTATCGATAATCATTTAATCGAGCACCTTATCACAAAGCATGATATTTAATATTTAATGTTTGTTAATAAATTAGTAATCATTATTAATTGGTTGTGTGCTCTCATATTATATGAGTGATGAGAATGAAAACTTGGTATTGTCATGCAAAATTGAAACATACTCAGCTCAAGAAATTGAATGCTGAATTTCCTTGCAGCAGACATTCAAGCCTGAATTGACAATGGCACTGTGAAACCCGAATTAGTTTGATACTTGTTAAACTAATATTACTTTATGAAAAATATTCATGGCTATGTATGTACATCGTCATATGTTGGGACGCTGGAGGAGTGAAACTCAATGAGAAAAGAATAATAATAATAAACCAAAATGCTATTGAAATGAAAGCTGGGCTGTGAAAGGGAAGAGAGTGTTAGTTAGAAAATGTTAAAATGGCATATATGAATGAGAGAAATGTGTAAAAGCCATAAAGAGGTGTTCAAAAATCCTCTTCTTTTCTTTCTGAAAATTTCTTATAAAAATGGGTTGGGTTTCTCTTGTCAAAGTATTGTGTAATTCCATTCTACATAAAAAAAAAAAAATTAATAAAGCCTTTTCAATTGTATTCCAAATACAAAGAGAAATCAAACAAAATAATAAAATAACACATTCCTTAAAGCCCTTTTTCTCCTTGTAACATTACCTGACAATTATCTTAGACCTGTACCAATTCATTTCGCCTCTAAATACGTCGAGCAACGTTACCCAGCATACCTTCTGATTTAGCAACAATTTGTCACTTCTCTTTGGGTTTTGTGTGTGTATTAAATCCATCCATGACACTGTAAACACATTTAATGATTTACTATGATTGGTTGCTCTCATGCACTCAATACATATTGTATTTTTTCTGTATTTTTTTCTGAATTTTCTATTAATTTTGTACAACTGAGTTAGAGTGTCCAGACTTGTGCAATCGCACTTTAGACACATAAAATGCATGGTAAATTTATCATTTTTGATGTACCTAGTGTGATATTTATGCAAATAACAATATCACTTAATATCAACATAATAAAGCAAATGCACATAATATGCACATGTTTGATTTAAATATGATATGCAATTATTAAGCAATTATGAATGGCACAGTATGTTTATCTAACAATTACGAATGGCATCACCCAACAATTACAAATGGCATAGTAATTTTCATTCAACTGTTTTCTAGTATCTAATACTATTTGTCTTTAAATTGCAATTGTTCATATTAACATTAGCATTAGTATTTAAAGAAACAGTTGAAATTTTTGTTGGTTTGTTTAATGATAGGAAAGCTAAAAATTACAGCCTTTGAATGTGTAAATTCCAATGTTTACAAATCTGATTTTTATGAATTAAATAGTCAAATATTTTGTATTGCTTGTAAACATGTCATTAACTACACCAGAAAGTCCATAATCGATTCTCACCTTGATTCACAATCACATAAAAAAAAAAGTGACTTGTTAAAACTTTATCTGATAATATCAATAATTTGAAAAAGCAAGACATTAATTTGACATTAGTTAAAGCATTTGTTGGAGCAGATATTCCATTAGAGAAAGTAAATAAGTTGCAAAAATTTTTACAAGATTATTGCAATGAAGATAAATAAATTAAATTAAATCTTTTAATTCAATCTATAAATTAATATTACTTATATTAAAAATTAATCATAGGCAGAATTGTAGGTGCAAATCAATTACATGAACGTTATTTACCACAAGTCTTTTAGAATGAAATCGATGAGTTAAAAAGAATTATTAAAGATTAGTATATTTCGATCACAATTGATGAAGCTACTGACACATGTGGACATAGTGTTGTTAATGTTTTATTCAGTTATCAAAGCTACACAAAATTGGTAAAAACAGATTATTTGGATACCGTCAATCATTCTACAATTTCTCAGTTAATTATATTTACAATAAGTTTTTATAATATTTCATATCAAAATATAATTCTTTTTATTAGTGATAACGCTTCGTATATGAAAAAAGCATATAATGATACTTTAGTTCATATAATACCTCATCTTAAACATAACTGTTGTTTCGCACATATTTTAAGTTTAGTAGGAGATTGTTGGATTTATTTTGATGATTTTAAACTTTTAGCACAGGTAGCATCATATATTAAGGATGCATTTTCACATACTTCTATTCGTAAAAGGAGATGGTTACAATTTCTTTCTGAAAATATTACTGTTCCTATAAATATCGAATCTAATTTAGAAATTTTAGATGAACAAATTAATCACAATTACCTTCTTTATTTATTAAAACACATTGGAATAGTTAGTTTAAGTTTATTTTTTGGATAAAACCTTATTTTTCATATTTTGTTCAATTTTTTAATAAGGAGATTATGCTTAACGATCCTCCAAAATCAGTAAAAGAACTGACAAAAATTTTTGCAAATCGTGAGAATATTTTATTAATTGAAATTTGGATCGAATTTATTATTTTAAATGCACAATGGTATGTAAAATAATTTAAATATTCGTATATACTTTATTTAGTATATAATTTATTAATAATATAATTTATATATTTTTTAGTTTAGTTCAAGATTTGAAATTTTTTCAAATCTGTAACAAACCTGTTGCACCATATGTATTTTCACGTATTAATCAAATTCGAGCAAGATTGCAAACTGGTATTAATAATCCACCATTCAACATGTTTATGCAAACCAAAATTCATGAGAACAATTTAAACTATGCATACTTTAAATCAACATTTTCCCAAGCATTTCAAGTATCTTTTAACAAATTGATCAAACATATTGATAATCATTCAGCTTTACCACTTTTTAAAGCTATTCGATGCTTTGATCCTAACTTTATTCATAGTTCAATAACATGACAAAATATAGAAGCCTATTTTATTATTAAAGAATTTGAAACTCCTAATAATGATTTATTAAATAACTGGAATATTTATTGCGGTTTAGAAGAGGAATTAGATGATAATTTAGATTTAAATCAATATTGGAAAGAAAAATCAAGAGAATTACCTCACCTTTCAAAAATTGCATTGTCATATATATGGTTGTCTGTTTCCGGTATAGATGTAGAACGTAGTTTTAGCAATTACAAAAATATTTTAAGTAATAAACAGCATAATCTTTCTGAAAATTCATTAGCAATGTTAAATTTATTATATTTTAATAAAACGATTTAATAGTTTTTATTTTTTTTGTATTGTTCGAAGGATTTTTTCTTCAAAAGATTTTTTTCTTTTAAAGAAATTTTGTTTTTGGTAGTTTTTTTGTGAGAGTTTTTTTTTCTAAGTTTTTTTTTATCGTTATGTATTAAGTCACGATATGTATACGAACATATTATATAAATATTACATCAAAATTAAATATGCAATCATATCTGTACCCTAATTATCCCTAAAATTGCACTGATATCGCACAACTAAAATTTTTAATATTGCATAAAAATGCGATTTAATTTGCACAAATTTGGATACTCTAAACTAAGTAGAGATGTTAATCGGTCCTTTGGGATCGAATTCTAACTGGTCCTTACCAATCCTTTCAAGGATCGGTAAAGACTCGATCCTTAAATCACATGAGAGCTATATAGGACTCAGATCCTGGATCGATCCTTGAACTCAGTCCCTTTAAAAATCCTAGGATCTGCTTTTGCTAGACGTTAGGAACGGTCCTCTGCCTTTGGCTTTGCACGCTAGTAAGGTATATTTTTTATAAGGCATATGCCTTAATTTTGAATAGTTTATGGCATTCAGTTTGTGCATTTGACGACAAGAGATATGATTTTAAACTAACTTTTTAGCAAAAAGTAGTATGTTTAAGACAGTAAGAAGTTAACCATCTCTGGATTTAAATAACTACAGGTAAGTAAGTTTATATTATAGAAGTTAAATCACTGAGTATTTAATAATAAGAGAAGCATACTCAAGTTTCTTAACTAACTCAGTTTGTTGACACTCTTGACTGACTTAGTTATGATTTGGAAATTTTAAATAACATCAAAGGTGGTATGCCTTACATATTCCCCGCTAATAACAAAGTTAATCATCTCATGAAGCATAAAATAAAGGATAAGTTAAACTTATAAAAGTTAATTTATTTTGTATTTAATAACAAAAGAAGTGTAATTTAAACTTGTTGACTATTTTTATCTTATCAGCTTGTGTGAAAGAAATTTAATCAGTAAATGAATTATTTCTTAAGCAATAATAGCATTCTTGTTTTAAAGTAAACCATCTTATTTTTGATATAAAAGTTAGAAAATCTAACATTTATCAAGTTAAATTTTTAATAACAAAAGCAATAGCGTAATAATAAAGGTAATATGAATATGCCTTTCCCAGTGTAGTTAAAGATGGTATGCCTTCCCCATTGTGATAATGAAGCGCATAGTAATAAAGACAGAATTTTTGCCCAGTGTAATAACAAAGATGATGTGCCTTTTTAGTTTAGTTATAAAGGCGAATATGCCTTCTCTAGTGTAATAATGAAATATGTATTAATAAAGGCGATTATGTCTTTTTCAGTATAATGTAGTAACAAAGGCGATATGCCTTTCTAGTGTAATAATAAAAGCATGTAGTAAAAAAGGTGGTATACCTTTCTCAAAGAACAAAAGCCATACATTTTAATAAATAATGTGTTAAATTTTTATTTAAAAGCCTTTTTTTAAAAAAAAAAAAAATTCTCGACAACAAACGAATTTGAATTTATTATTGAAACAAATCAATTCAAATTTGATGAATTCGAATTTATAAATAAAGAAACTTCTAGTAAAGAAATCTTTACTAGTGATGAAACTGCATTCTTGCTTCCAGAAAATATAAAAAAAAGACAAAAAAACTGAAAAAACATCTCATCCGCAAATAATCGAGCACCTGTTAGAGATTATCTTTCATCAGTTGATGATGATGGAGGTAAAATATGCAAACTATGCAAACAAGAATTTGGTAGTCTGACTGCGATATCAACCATTAATCAGCATTTTCAAAATTTTCACCTTGCAGAGTTTACTAAAATCAAGCAACTTAGATCTCGACGACTTGACCCTTATGACCCAAACGACAAATATAAAGTGGACACTTTAAACAATAAATTTTTAAAATAGGTGGTCATCGATTAACAATCATTTTTATTAGCAGAAAATGCAGAATTTAATAATTTTTTAATGGAACTCGATCCCCGTTACAGACTCCCATGTCGACAGACACTTTCAACTTGGGCTAGTCAAGATTATATAAAAAATAAAAATAAAATTAAATTTTTATTAAATACAATTCAATCAAAAATCTCAATTACAATAGATGGGTGGACCTCTTGTAACCAACAATCCTACATTGCTGTAACCGCACATTGGATAAATTCTGATTGGAAAATGAATCGTATCTTACTCGATCTTATCCCGTTTAATGAAACGCATACTGCACTTAACCAAGTCGATACGATCATCGAAATTTTAAAAAAAATGGATTTTGATCAAAAGCTTTTAGGAATCACGACTGACAATGCTGCCAATATGCTAGCGATGGGGCATATTCTAAGAGAAAACATTAGTAATGAATTTGGTAATCAAACTGTGCAGCATTTTCGATGTGGTGCACACGTTCTCAATATTGTTGTCGAAGAAGGAATAAAATTAATTAGTATAGAAATTTCTAAGGCACAGGAGTTTTTCATGAAGCTTCGAAACTCTCCATCACTTATTCATGAATTAAAAAAAATTTTGAAATGAAAAATATACCATTTTTAATGCCTGAAACTGACGTCAACACGAGATGGAATAGCATGTATATAATGTTAGAAAAACTTCAACGAATACGTCCTATAACCAATATCCTTGTAGCAAGCAATCAAACTTTAAACTCAAGTTATCCTAATGATCAAGAATGAAAAATTATTGTTGTTAGTAATGTTAATTTAAATTTTTTTTTTAAATACTTAATTCTAATAAATATAAATTACAGGACCTGTTAATACTTCTTGAGCCCATGTATCATGTGACCGTAATGCTATCTTTGTCAACACTTCTTATTCAAGATGACCTTCGTATGGTATTCTATAACCTAATTATATATTTAAACAATAATGACAACCCAGAGATTAATACACAGCATGTCATAGCCAGTGCAATGAAATTAAAGTTTGCATTATATTGGGTTCACTTGAATGAGTCATCAACAATTTTAGGCCTTTTTGATCCACGTAATAAGCTTTCAACCTATGATGTAAATGAACATGAACACGCTATTAGTAAACTTCATGAGATGTATGAAAATTATAAACCAGTTGAAGAAAATAACTTACTAGTACTACCTGCTACTAAATCAACATGTGATCTTTTTCGCAATCTTACAAATTGCCGTCAAGTTAACAAGAATCAGTGTGAAATCACAACCTACTTGTCTGAATCTGAGACTGAAGCTGAACCATTGCTATGATGGAAAGCAAATTCTAAACAATACCCAACTCTCTCTCGCATCGCAATGGATTTTCTTGCTGTGCAAGCCACTAGTGTTGCTAGTGAGCAAGCTTTTTCTGTCGCTAAACATACGATCACTCCCACCCAAAATCGTATAAATCCTGAAGTGGCACATGCGTCATTGTGCTTGAAAAGCTGGTACACTGAACTAAGTGAAATTTTAAGTGAAGAGGTAAGTGAAGAGGTTAGTAGCACTAATGCTAATTAATAACGATAAAAGAATTTTTTTTTTCTATATGATTTTTTTTTTTATATATTATAAATTTTTTTTATAAAAAAAAAAATCGTGTAATAAAGTACGTGACAAAAAGAAATAAAATTTGGTTTAAACAAGTGAACAATTGTCAATCTGATTGGATGAACCTGTTGAGGATTAGAATTCAGGACCCGGTCCTGGGATCGATTAATTAACGGTTTTTCATAATAGGTCCAGGACCGTCCTAATAGATCCTGGGATCGGACCGGACCGGATTCGCAATTTAACATCCCTAAAACTGAGTACACATTAGTATACAAATAGACGTAAACGAAAAATAATTATGTTCATAATTTCGTAAATGAAAATTTCTTTATTCGTATATAGATACAATCCAAATCACTTATAAAAGGATAAAATTTCTTTTTTAAAAAATTTTTTTTTCAACGAAATTATAAAGTTCTAGAATAATAATAATAAATTTTTATTAAAATTTCTACATTTATAAATTCGTAATTCGTTAATAATGTTCAAGAAAAAATCAGTAATTTTAATTCTTTTCATTTTCGTTACTCTCGTTTATTCACTTCCAAATCCTAATAAACCTCAAAATGGAGGAGGTCAAGTTGGAGAAATTGCTATAGTAGATTTTCTTGGACTACCTGATGAAGAAGCTTTAGGACGGGCTGTATTTACTCAAATTACTCAAGATACTTGCAGGGCTACTATGCAATGGAATGAAGGATTTACTTCAGGCAATCCTGATGATTATAAGTTCAATCTAGATCACATTGATATTACCTCCGATATACGCCCACACTTATTGATTAATCCTCCTGGTACTGCACCAATTGAAATAGAGTTTAGTACCTTTACTTGTTTATCTCTTGTTGGTAGAAGATTTAAAATCAAACGTAAAAATGAAACGATTGGTAACGATAAAATTTATAAACTATAATTTTGTTTAGAAATGATTCTTATAATTCTAGTTAAAATAAAAAGTAATATTTGAATTTGGTGCATATTCTTAGAATTAAGTTAAAATTCGATCATAGAAATTATTAATATTGCTAACAATTAATTTAGTCCGACATTTGCTTTCAAGTGGTCCATTATTATCGTTTCAAGTAAATTTATTGCTGTTCAATAAAAAAAAACTTTTATTTTGATATTTGGAACACTCCGAATAAAGCGTCCAGATCTTTACCATTGTTTTCTTCGACTTTAACTATATTATCGATAATATCGTTTTCATGACAAATAAACTTCTTTATATTTCTTGAACGCTTTTAGGGACTTCATTTGAGAAATAATTATTAGTAATCCAATATTCTATAGCAGTATAATCAACATGCCTAATATTTTTGACCAATCAATATGAAAAATAAGTTATTGCTACAAAAATACGAAAATAGGATGCGAGTTTGATGGTTTTTTTTTGACTAAATTAGATCTAATATTTGTAGAGAATTCAGACCTTATATCATATATAGAATATTAATACATATACTAAATTACTGCCGATTAATGAAATATTGTATATGTTGTACGTCCAATTAAACCCCGCATCAGATCAAAATTTAAATTCTGCTTCATTAGGGTTAGCACGAACTTAGCATGACCACCAAGATCAGTTACGTACGGAGTTTCAACGATTAATATGACGATTTCTGTATTATATATTAATACGTAAATAATCTGAAAAAAAGAAACTTTTGATTTTCTTTTTTCCATATCTAAATAACAAAGAAATTTTTTTGCTATACATCAAAAATCAACAATAAAAAGATCTGTATTAAACAGTTAAAAGAGGCATAATTC